AATTTAAATTTCAAGAATATTGGCATTTTCCCAACAAAAATGCATTTTTTTTTTTAAAGTTCCTAGACAGCTTTTGTGAAAATTACCATATCAGTAAATCTTTACATGCATCTATAGGTGGAAATAATGAACAATGTGCTTCCGCTAGTTGGGCCAAAATCATTTATGTTGTATCACAGACAAATGAGGTGCTTTAGTTAATGTAAAAAGATGTCCCTGCTCTGTGGAGGTAATGCTAACAGGTAAGGAAGGAAGGAAGAAAGTGTACTAAATTAAATTGTACAGTTAACTAGCAAGCACAGACAAGCTATTGTTGCAAAGGTACATTTTAGGACAGATATTATGCAATATTTCACATATGCAGTATTTTACAGGAACCACAACACTTCACCTAACGAGCAAGCCCACAACTGCTTTCATGTGGGACAGCACTCTCATTTAGAAGTTGTTTTAAATTTTCAACATTAAGGAAATGAAAAATCAAAATTGGTTGATAGAAAGTTGTTTAGTTTGCATGTTATAAGATGGTGGTTCCATAATATTCTAAAATGTCAAAATTCCCTTCTCTTTTTTTCCTTTTTAATGTGTCCAGGATCATATTCCTAGCGGTTGGAAGATGAGTAAAGTTTACAGGAACTTTAATCAAAAATAGTGGGAGGAGTAAGTGAGAGGGAGACAGAAGTTGCTGACACAGTCCTTGAAGAACTGCTTTACATACAGTTAAGGAAATAAGCTTACTACATCAGCTAAGGACTAGATTAACTTCCAAAATAGTATAATAATAAGCTTCTGCTGCCTCACAAGGAGAGATTTTGATTGCTGAACTCTAAATAGTGTCTGGGTTAAGAGAAGTATTAAAAATGTCTCCATCTCCAGGCAGCTGTCCCTAGGAAGCACTAGTAGAGCTGAGCCAAAATACTTCCAGAGGCCCATTTGAGTTTCCTCCTGAATAGCTCAAACAGGTGCAGAAGTAGGATCACTTCTGCTGAGTACAGTTTTCCTATGTTTGTTTCCAATGAGTAGATTGTGTCATACTATTCCAGATGTTGTTATCCTCAGTGTGACTTTGTGCAACTTCAGACATTTTGTACAAAATTAATCTAATATAATTTTATAATAATAATTGCAATAGCAAATAACTTGCAGTCTCCTCCTGGAGTGGTAAAATAAGGTTATTCGATTGAACATTATTACCCCAGAATAAAAAATAAATAGTAGTAGAAGTATTTTTGCTACCATTATTCTTATACCAAAACTGGTTTCAGCTGGAAACAAGGAGCTGAACTGGCAAGCTTTAGTCTCAGTTCTGCAAGCACTTAGTGCCTGTACATGTGTGGGTAGGCTGCTCTGATGTGCTGTAATTACAGCGTGTCAAAGCAGACTCGATTAATGGAGTCTCTATTAATCCAGTCTCCTGGAGCATGCCAATTAGCATGGTTGCAGGGGTGCTTTAAGTAAATAGTGGCAGGGGTGCTTTTAACTAAAGCTTGTTCAATGAGCTTTTAGTTAGTGCCCCTGCTGTCATTTTGAAGCATAGGGATGCTGATACACGAGACACTGTGGGTGCTTTAATTTGAGTGGCTCTTGGAGCTGTTCTAATTAAAGCATCCTCTACCCCCAGAGCATGTGTAAAAATGCCCTTTGGCATTAAGTAACCTAGATCTCAGTGAAGCTACTCACATGCTTAAGTATTTGCAACATTGGCTTTTTAAACTTATTTTTGTCCTGCAGTAGTAATTTATTAATTATATTTGAATATCAGTGTTGGGTATTGAAGCTCAGTATCTCATTATCAGTCACCTTAAATTTAACCTTCATTTGACATTTACCTACCCACCATGGAAAATGGTAAAACAATAACTTTTGCTTTGCTTTCAGTTTTTCTAATGCTTCTAATATGTGAACAGACAGACGCTTTGTGTCTGAGAAATCATTCTTCTGTAGCAGTGAAGTTTTAAAAATGCTTTTCTCTAGAAAGTCTGTTTTGTAGTGCAAGCCATCCTGAAACTCATGAACTTCAGGAGTCAACTCTTCCATTAAACCTCTCTCTCTCTCTCTCTCTCTCGAAAACAGTTTTTCACAAATTGGATATGAGCAGCAAAATGAGTTACTACTTAAGACAAGTATAGTCTAGATCTGGGCTGGGCAATTATTGGGCTGGAGGGCCACTGAGGGCATTTTGGTGAGCTGTTGCAGGCCAGGGGGGAGAGGGGCAATTGATCCTATCCAGCCTGGCACAGGGGGAAGAGGGGCAATTGATCCTATCCAGCCTGGCATGGCAGGGAGGGTGGTGCAGGCTGGAGGGGGAAGAGGGACAATTGATCCTATCCAGACTGGGCTTGTACTTCCTGTGCCCACCAAATGGAGCAGGTGACCAGGGTCTCCATGGAGACCAGCCCAGAATCCCCATCAGCTGGGTGCACTTGGCCAGGTGGATGGGATGGGGTGAGGGCAGGTAGGAGTGGGACGGGAAGGCAGTGGTGGGATCACAAGGCAGTGACAGTGTAAAGCTGGGTTCTGGCCCAGAGCTACAGTTTGCTGCCCCAGGCCCTGACCCTGTGCTTCTGACCTTGGCTGCCCATCTTGCAGGGATGCCACTCCCCACATGCCTACAGCTACATCTAATCCTTCCAGCACCCCTGGCGGTGGGTGTGGGGCAGATGGGCCAGGGTGCCTGGGCAACAGGGCTGGATTCAGCAGTGGTGGCAATGCTGGCAGCAGCAGCTGGAAGGAGTTGCTGCTGTCAGGGCTGGTGGTAAACTGAGTTCAGCTGCTGTACTGCCCTAGCCCCACTGCATACCTGGGGGTGACAGGCCTGGCCACATACACAATGGCCTGGGCTGCCCCTGCACCTGGGCCAGACAGAACCAAGGGACCCATCACAGGTAGTAAAATTTCTTGCAGGGCTGGATCCAACCCACGGGCTGTATTTGCCCACACCTGGCCTAGATCCACCTAAGGTTTTTAAACTAATACAAGCTTCATTTCTTGCCTTTTGATAATGCCACTGAATGGACTGCATCACTACATATCTTGCATCCTTTGCCAAGACCTAAAAAATGTCTGGGGACAAATTAAAAAGAAAAACCCTAGAACGAAAAGTTGAGTGAATGAGGCAGTCTTATATTTGATGTTGTTATGGTTTGGGTTCTGATATTCAGGGTTGTCAAAATAGAGTGCCTGGTGCATTGTGCTGCTTGTCTCGAACAGGCTTAAGGCTTTCAAATAAGATGAGAACTGAAAGCTTGCAAGTTTTGCATGCTCTATATAAAAAGGCTTGAAGCCAGTAGTAACTATCTAGCCATAGGCTAAAAAAGGGTCCTATGCATATTCTGTGGAGTGGATGCTTACACAGTCAGGTGGGTGGCCAACTGGCTTAGGGACCGCACCCAGAGAGTGGTGGTGGATGGATCATTCTCAGCCTGGAAGAAGGTGGGCAGTGGGGTCCAACAGGGATCGGTCCTTGGACTGGTGTCATTTAATATCTTCACCAGCGATTTGGACTAGGGTGTGGAGAGCACTCTCTCCAAGTTTGCAGAAGATACCCAGTTATGGGGCATAGTTAACACCGGAGGGCAGGGAGCAGATACAGGCTGATCTGGACAAGTTGGACCAATGGGCAGAACGAAATAGGATGCAATTCAGCAAAGATAAATGTAAGGTACTCCACCTAGGGGGGAGGAATCCCCAGCACACCTACAGGTTGGAGGATGACCTCCTTAGCAGCTCAGAGGCTGAGAGGGATCTTGGAGTCATAGTTGACTTCAAGATGAACATGAGCCGGTAGTGTAACAAAGCCATCAACAAGGCCAATCGCACCTTGTGCATTAGCAGATGCATGACCAACAGATTGAGGGAGGTGATGCTCTCCCTCTATGCGGTGTTGGTCAGGCCACAGTTGGAGTACTGTGTCCAGTTTTGGGCGCCGCACTTCAGCAGAGAAAAGGAGAATCTGGAGAGAGTTCAGAGGAGGGCCACTCACATGATTAGTGGCCTCCGTGAAAGACACTACGAGGGGAGGTTGAGGGATCTGGATCTCTTCAGCCTTCACAAGAGACATCTGAGGGGAGACCTTGTAGCCACCTATAAGTTTATCAAGGGAGGACAACAGGCAATTGGAGATGTGCTGTTTACTAGAGCACCCCTAGGAGTAACTAGGAAAAATGGGTGCATATTAGTGGAGAGTAGATTCAGGTGAGACATTAGGAAGACATTTTTCACAGTAAGGGTGGCCAGAATCTGGAGTGGGCTTCCAAGGAGGTGGTACTATGACCTAACTTGGAGGTCTTCAAGAAGAGGCTTGATAGACACCTGACTGGGTGTCATCTGACTGGGGTCATCTGACCTCAGTCCTCTTTCCTGCCAGGGGCAGGGGGTCAGACATGATGACCCTTTGTGGTCCCTTCCGACTGTACAATCTGTGAATCTACTAAAGTGAGAATTGGTAGATTTATGTATTTGCCTCGAACTCATCCTGTGCCTTTGAAGAAAGCACTCAACTTTTTTCTGTGTCTTGAACTGCAACATATGTAAGATGATCCTTGTCCACTTTCATAAAAACACTTTGAGTTCCTTTGCTGAAAACTGTTTTAAATGAGGTTCCTTGAACTATCTTGTACTCTTCAGACTCTGAGAATGCCGACATGCATACTTTTCCAGATATTGCTAAAGTGAGGTTAAAAGAGGGAAAGATGGAACACTTCACAAAAGTAACTAAACATTGTGACCTCAAGTGTTTTATGGCTATGACCTGCATCATTCAAATTTCAGTAAAAACCACTGACCTGTGTTTGTATTTTGTAGTGCTTTTCCCACCAAACCATTCCCTAGGCATTGTGCACGTTTTGTAACGCTTTTTCCCCTCTCTTTAAAAAAAAATTAATAAATAAATAAAATTTAATAAAAAGATGCAGTGTATGTTGAAACAATTGAAGAAATGACATTAATTTTGTATTTTGATAAATGAACTTGCTTGAAGTTTGTAAATGAAAAGGCAACTGGAAGCCTATGTGATATCTGATGGTGCTTTTCTGCTTTGTGGTTTTAAGAAAGAGGGTTGGATAGGTAATCAATTTGTCTCATGTTTTTGTCATCCCCCAGCCCCCCTGCCCCCCAATCCTGTAAATAACTCCCAAGAAATTGTAGAGTTCCGTATCATATATGGACTGAAGCCAAGAGCTAGGAATCACATGAATAGTGTAGATTAAGGATTGCTCTTGACAGTGGAAAAACTACTAGATAGAAATGGCCTGTCTGTACTGGCATGGGTGTAAAGTACATGCATAGCTTATTGAGGTTAATGTCAGGTTAAGAATCATATTTTTAATAATACAATGTTAAGAAATGTGTTCTTAAATGTTGGATTTTTTTTCCCTTTTTTAAGAACAAGCTGTATTTAGCCTTGCCCCTTCTTTTTCCGAAATACCACAGAACCTAAAAGTACATAAGGGATGAGTGAAGCCAAAGCTGACAGCAGGCTGTAAGCCTGGAAGTTAGTTATCACTCAGTGGGAATAGCAACAGAGAGTAGTTAGGAAAGTAGTTCATTGGCATCAGTTCTCTCTACTAAAATTATTAATTAAAAGTGAAGGGGGGCAATTCAAGGACTGATTTTTACAGAGCATAGGGTTGAGGTGGTTTAGTTAGAAGTAGAGGAAGTGAAGGCAGAAGCTGGGGGTGGGGAGTGGGAAGAGGTGTTCTCTTTGATTAGGCCAGAACGTGATGAATAATGATTTTGTTCAGTTTTCCTCTTCAGTCCAGTCTACCTTTTTAACTTCAAACCTAAGAACAGATGTTTGAGAGGTTAAATCAGGTTCAAAATGGCTGCTCAGTTTTAAACTTAGCTCATTCTGGTGCTGACATTACACTTTTAGACCTGGTCTCAGTGACTGGCAATCAGTCTAAACCTGTAACAAAATAGAAATTCTGTGCACACAAACGGGTTAAATAATTGCAAAACCTGGTTAAGATAAACCTGGATCTATGTAGTATCAGACTTAACTTGAGCTAGGTCAAAACCAGTGCGTGGAATTTCTGTCCCCCCTGCCCTGTGTCGTCTTGGAAAACCCAGCCCCAGGCCTGCTTTTTTTTTTTTTTCTTTTCACTCCCTTCCCCCCCCCTTCCCCTACTCTGGTCTGTTTTTTTGCTCTTCCACCCAGCCAGCACTCAGCCCCCCATCCCTCAAGTCATTCTAGGTACAGCTGCTTTCATCAGTGTTTGCTGCTGCTGGAGTCAAGTAAGTAACTCATGTGGGGAGGGGTGGGAGGGATGGTGGTGTAACTTTGCTGGGGGGGACACCCCTCCACTGCATCTGTGAGTCACCTCCTTCCCTCCACCCCTTGCAGGTAATGTCTCCCTTCACCCTGCACAGGTCACGCCCACCCCACCTGTGGGTTGTGTCTGTCCCCTGATCCTCTCCAGCCTGCTGGACTCGCAACTCCCCAGCTACCCCTCCCATCCTGACTTACCTGATATCGGGCACCCAGTTTGAATCTATTTAACCTCCCCCTAATGCCCCTGAATGTCTGTACTTAGCCCAAATGATCAGGAGGGGAGGAAGTTAGGAGGCTCAGTAAATATGCATTATTCTTCAGCAGTATGAAGCTAAAGTTTGAAGGTTTAGGGGAGAGAAACACAAGATAGAAGCTAGAGAAGCAAAAAGGAGAATGCCGCCACCTCCACCTCCCTCAACCCTTTTCCCTTCCCCATCCCCCGCCCCCACTCCAATCTAAGATGTGTAGGAGGGATGCAAGGAAATATTTGGAGAAAGAGGAAAAGAGCACCAGTGGGACAGTGTTTCAGAAGGATCCCGAAATGGATTTAGCGGATGGTATGAATCTCAAAAGAGGGCGGAGAGAAGACAAATGGAGCAATTTTTGCTGGTACTAAGTTGAGGTGTAATTGAAGAGCCATATGAAATGGCTTAAGATGGAAATTCTGCTTATAGCTAAGCAGGGCTGACCTGCCCTTATCCTCTCATGTTGTTTAGTATTTGATGTCAGAAGTTTCTTAAGTTTGGTTTTTTTTTTGTTTTTTTCAGGGAGCCTTTTGCTGCACATCATGAATACATGCGTCAAATGATGAGAAGCTTTTCTGATCCTTTTGGACGAGATCCATTTCTCAGTATTACAGATGGTGGCGAAAGAGGTCTAGATCAAAGAGGACGCTATGATTCTCAGGTTGCTCTGAGGGGGAATCAGAGAGTAAGTTCTTTGATAATTTCAGAGGCTAGTTGTTCGATGCAAACAATTACTAGTAATATAGGTTAACACTTGGATTTTTAGACCTTGAGAGGATCTGATGGATACGCCACAAGACAAGAAACAGCATTTAGGTTTATGTTTCTGGCTCTACTGCTGGTCTGGATGGCCTTTGTCAAGTTACTTAGTTTCTCTGAGACTTTTCCGCTGCAGAATGTGGGTCATAATATTTGTCTTCCAAAAAGTGTTTTGACCTGTGATTAAAAAGTATTATGTAATGTGTTTGTTACTTAATAGCTACGAGTTACCATGTTAGCACTGATAACGCAGTGAACACTTTGTTGTGTATTAGTTATGGGTTAGTGTCCAAAAGGACAGTTTTCCCTGAATGTCTTTGTTTATAAATTGCTTTATCTGCTAGCACTATTACTGGACAGTCTCTTGTCCCCAAATGGATACCTCCACTATGCCTTCAACATGCCCATCTCTTGTGTAAGTATATACATAAATGCAATACAGTATTTATGCACTTAATTATTGAGAGCAGTCTAAGGGTGCATACATGTGTTCTGTTTTAGTTTAAACACCTGACAATCCACCCCCAAATATTTATGATGGAGGAAATAAATAAAATTAGATGCATCCTAGCTATTTATGGTAGTTTGCCTTTGGCTGTTAGAAACTGCTGGTGTGCAGAGGCTGCACAAGTTGCCTCAATATGCAGTAGTAGAGGCTGCAATCTCTTCACTGAAGAAGAAAGCATATAATGCTGTGGGTTCTTGATATTATTATTATTATTATTATTATTATTCTGGCATTCAGGTCTTGCAGCTGATGTGCAGGACTTTGCCTTCTCTCTCATTTTTTTTTTTTTTTCTATGTACAAGCCACTGCACTGGTCAGTTCCTAAATTACCACTTTTGTGGATATAAGCCAGATCTGCAATTCAACCACCTAAAGCTGTTAGGCTTGCTTATATAACAGCTTCACTGTGAGGCAGGGATTCATATCCCACGTTCATTCTGATCCTTAAATATCTTTCTTCAAATATGTGGCTCTAACAATTAAGGAAGACCAAGTAAATTGATATGAAACTGAATATTCCTATAGGCTGCCAACAGCAAATGAAAAGAAAGTTGGCAACAGTCTGTCTTATATAAAAATGCTCTTTCGACTGTCTGATCAGTCAGTGACAATTATAGTTATGTTGCTGTTGCTAAATCTTATAAGTACTATGTATATAATTATATAACTTAAATCAATGTATATAATTTTAAATAGTATGACAGATATTTTGCATCTAAAGTATCTTTTGGCTTGACTGTTCTTAAAGTGGAACCATTGGCATTTGAGTCCAAGGATAACACACCACAGGGGGTGGTGGACCTCTGCCAAGAACAGTCGTAATTCAAATTTAGATATTTTGAGCTTAATAAACATAGCTGGAGCACAGACGGTTACCTGCAGGTCAAAAGGGTAACTGCCAGATTCTTTCCTCCATGCTCATACGCTGAAAGCTGGCTTCAAATATAGATGTTGTTGGATCCACTTGAGGCCTGATTCTACTTCCATTGGAATTCATGAGAGCAAGAGCAGGTTCTTTGCCCCCTCTTTAGCAAATGCCTAAATATGGATATGACCTTTTTAAAAAAAAAAAAAAAAAAAAAGCAGAGGATTTATTGCTCCTTGTTCTTCACTCTTGTGTTCTGTCTGTATTTCCAGTTGTAAGATGTAAGGAGGCTTGCGATTTGAAAATGTTAGGTTTTTGTCTGCTTTCTAAAAATAATTGTTAATTTTTCATACCTATGGTCATCATGCTATCTCTTAAGAATTTCTTTTGTGTTCCCTGAAATACTGACCTGAGACTAGTCAGTGCTAGGTTCCTGCCTTTTGTGTGTGCATTTGAGAGTGTTGGCACGAGATGACACAATCAAACTTTAGGTTATAGCTTAGATTTATATAAGAAGACACGGGATTCTTTTTTTTTGTATTACTAAAAACTTAAATTTAGAAGTGAATTTAGTATTTTTTTTTCTTAAAAGGTGTCTACACTGGTTAGTAAGCATTACTCTAAATATCATTAAGTTTACTAGAATGTCAAATAGCTTCTTGTAAAATTTGTAATTGTTCTCTCCCAGTTTGATTGAGGAAAATAATCTTTTTCCTCTTTTCTGCCTTCAGTTTGATTGAGGTTTCCTCCTTCTTTTCTACCCTCCCTCAAATAGCTGCATATTTAAATTCTTTAACTTGGGAGAGCACGTTGAAGTCAGTAATTTTTCACTTTCAAGGATTGTCTGCTGTTTGTTTGGGTGTCTTATGTAAGTTCTCAGCTATGTCATTGGCCGTGGTTTTTCTGACAAAAAGCAGACTTCTATTTATAACAAACAACAACAAAAAGTAGAAAGTAAGGTGGATCTTGGTTTCCCGGAATGGCAGTAATGAAATATTCTAGTGAAAAACTGAATGTGTTTTCTTTCTACATTTCACAGTAATAAAGACCCCCTTCCCATGGGAATGTCTGTTTTTAAAAGTAATTTTATATTAAAATGATTTAAGCTCTTATTTCTGTAAATTGGACAGTGCGTGTGTGAAATATTTACTTCAATATGAACAAATTCCTAAAGGAGTTCTGCTTAGTAAGAGAGTTGGTTGTAAATTGGTTAAAGCTTAATAGATCTAAACTATTGGACATATACTTAATACTTTTACAACTTTGCAGAATTAAAGAACTTAAAGCTTTTGGCTGTGATTGCCAAAATATTTAATAGCATAAGTAATTTGCCCGTTCAAAGCAAATTTCCTCTACTGTGTGTGTGCATGCACCATATGCAAATTAACTCTTATCTTTGTTTCCTAAAAATGTCTATTTTGTCTTCCAGCAACTTGGTTGCTCTGCTGTACTGAGATTCAGTACCAAGTGTTCAAAACTTCACAGGGCCTGTATTTGGTGTTTATAGCTGCATCTATTTATACATCTGTACAAGAATATAATTTGCACACAGCGGATTTATTAGTCTTCAGATTTCTGTATATGATGATAGATTTACTTAGAATTTCCTTGCAATGACCTTTGAGACTACTGACATTTTAGAGTTGATTTGGTTTATCCCTAGGGATCTATGAATATTTTGGAGAGTATGTATGTATTTTATTGTTAAGTCTACATTAATCTCTTGTAATACATAAAAAGGAGTGCTTGAGCAGATCAGCTGCATTGCTTACTTTAATGTTTGCGCACTAAAATTTATGCCAGCCTTTTGAAATTTGGTTGCATACACTTATGTCAAGTAGAAACAGATTTGTTGGTTTTAATCAACCTTTCTGACTTCTACTGCATAAAGAGAATTGAGTGAATATAAGGAAGCAGGTGACATCTGAAGTACTACACCTTATGTTTTAATTAACTTTAGTAGCATGGTTTCTATGGTATGTAGAAATGTCTCTCAAGATTTATATTTAAAGGCTTTTGTCACATTTGTGTAAACATGATTTATTAAAGTTTGGTGCAGCCTACTGTTTAAAAATAGTATGCTGCTTCTATATCTGTTAAGAACTACTTCACATTATGTGGTCTTAGCACAGGATATACCACAGAGATTCTCTTAAATAACTTTATTTGCTCAAATGTTTTAATTTCAACTGGTATGGAAAAGACTCTTTTAAATACATCACCATAAGAAGAAATTAAATCAATCCTTTTCTTCCAGGCCATGAGTTGTTCCCTCGTGCCCTTTGGCAGCTTTGGTAATATGGTTAGTATCCTGAGAAAAAATGGTTTGTGCATCTTGTCTTGCTAACTAAAACAAAAATAAATCGGAGCTACCGTATGCTTGTGAACTGCTGTACTTGCTTGTTGGAAATGCAGAGTGATTATTATTTGGGAGTGTTTGCCTTCTAGCATTTTCATTAAAAGAAAATAAATCATGTAAACCTTCTATGGATATCCTATTGGATATTGCTGCTGAAATTGATTTTTAAAGAGCTTGTATTCTTCAAAAGGTTTCTAGTAGGGTTTTTTTTCTTCCTCTCTTTACCAAATCTATATATTCTTTGTTTTTATCTCCAAAAGATCAGGTCTTTCATTAGACTTGGTAGGGGGGCAATATCACTTTTATAACCAGATGAGTTATCCAGAAACTGTTGGGGACTTTTTTATTTTTAACCTGTTGGAATGTTTTAGGAATGTATTTATTTTTTGAATTTTATAGAGGAGAAGCATTCAGCACTCTACTGCTGTTAGTCATTTGTAGGGGTGTACCAATTCTATCAGTTGACTATTGGATTGGCACCGATACAGGAAGACATGACATTATTAGCTGTTGGCTTTTTTTGGTGGTTGTAGCTGATAATTACAGTTGCATGCCTGAAGCACCAGGCCAAATGTAGTCTGGGCCCCATGCCTTGCTGGCCCAAGCACTCAGCAGACTACAGGTCCCAGTGAGCAGCAGGAGGGGGAAGGGGCACTGGGGAGCAGTCATGGTGCTGTGCTGAGCAGTGAAGGTACTGTTACTGGCTCCTGCTGTTGCTGCCACTGCCCTGGCAATGCTGTGCATGCCATAGGGGCCTGAGTGCTGGGGCTGCCACAGAGACGTTAGGCTGCGCACAGATGGGGTAAAGCACTGCACGAGGGACACTGCTCCACTGGGCACCGGGTGCCCTTGCAAAAACGGCTTCTACCCAGCAGCTGTGGGAACTTGGCTGAATGAGGCCCTCCAGTGCTGAGGTAGCAGCATGCTCTGGGGCTCTGAATGCACCTAGTGGGTGCAGACCTGAGGGTCTGCCCCCTCTGCCCAGGACAGCAACCCCGGGCTGTGCAGGTAGAAGCCTATTTATGTTAGTAGTTAGTTTATTTATGTTAGTAGTTTTAAAATGTCTTGCACTATTACTAAATATCGATTATTGGATCAGCATTGGCCGATATGGTTGGTTAATCATCAGCTGTTGGTATCGGCCAAGAAAATCTTTATCGGTGCACCCCTACTCGTTTGCCTTGTAGCCAATTAAGAAGCCGCAGAAAACAACCCCAACAAATGAAGATAGTCTCCAAAATAATGGTGCCTTTGGCCCAGTTCCCTTGCAGCCTTCTTGGTGGAAGCCGTGTCCTGATGCAAGATACTCAGACCTCTAAATGTGACCAAACCCTTGTCCTTCACCTGAATGGTAGTAAATTCACCTGTTAGCTGTATCCTTTGTTGCTGTTAACCACAGTAGCCTAACCACTGAGGCAGTCTTTCTTCTGCTAGTGGATGACCTTCTGCACATAGGCAAGGGAGGTACATCCATACTTGTCCTGTTAGATGTTTTTATGGTATTGGATTCTGTTGATCACCATGTATCTTTCCAACATCATGCATCCTTGGGTCTTGATGGAAACTCCCAAAATTGGTTCAGATTCTTCCTCTAAGTAAACCAGGAGGATCACTATTAGCAGCTGTTTTTACATCTTTTTTTTTTTTTTTAGCCTTTTTCTGAGAGTCTAGAAAGGGTTAGTACTTTAATCTACTGTATTTTATTCAATTATGGAAGATCTAGTAGGATACTGGAGGGTAAAGGTAATGCCTATTTCTGTCTCCTTTAAATAAAAACAAAGAGATCATGGCATTGCCTGCAATAGCAAGGGGCTGAACTTGGTGAGCCAGGATATCCGTTCTAATCCTGATTTGAGCTTGAATATAGCACCACTTCCAGGATTCTCAGTTCAGCAACAACCTTCCTTTTTAGTACAAGGAACAACCTTCCTTTTTATGTTGTTACGTAAAGAGCAGAATAGACTCTCATTGGATAGTGTCAAGTACAGATCTTTCTGGATACGTTTTATCATCCAGAAGACTAGCCCTGGTGAGTTAAGTGAGTGCTGCCTTTGAACTGATAGAAACTTAAGTATTTAAGTTTGAAGATGAGTGGTATGAGAGCTGTAAAATTCAATACATCATCCTGTTTATTCCTTTCTGACTTACCATTACTGACAGTCATAGAAGTTTTGTTATGCAAGTGACGATACATTCACCAGATGCATAAGTATTTGAGATTGGGCTAAATATGACAACAACAAAAAAAAGAGGGAAACTAAATTACTCAGCTGGCATGGTTGTGTTTAAAATATGTTTTAGGGAACAGTATAGCAAATTGTCCAGAATCCCATTCTGTTGTCATGCCAGATCAGGACAGATGCTGTTTTAGTTTAACCTGAGCTATAAACAGCAAGCTATTACTGGTTCCAGAATCTAAGTGATAGTTATGCCACTTACAAAACTTCACTTTTACCTACTGTTAGGTACGTTCCCAAATACTTATGCTACCCCTTATGGGATGTCCTGCTTCTGTTACCCCACCTGTCGTATTATGTGGTCTTATGCCATGCTTGGAAGAGTAAAAGAAGTCAGTTCATTCCCCATCTTTAAATTCTGAGTCGCTTGCAATTGCTATTCGTAGATCTCCTTTTCTTTGCACTGACCATGAAAATGTTTCTGTAGTTGCTACTTCTGAGACTGTCATTTATGAACTATTATGCAATTAACTTTTAAACTATGAGGAAATGCTTTAGTGGGCATGAGCCAGCTAAAGCCTCTGCTAGTGCTTTAAGTTAACCATTTGGGATAAAGGTGTCATTCACATACCTACCATTTTTCTATTCTTTTTTTTTAGGCCCAATCTGTTATCCAAAGAGGATGTAGTGCATGTGGTATGTAAACAGTTTAGAGCAGGGGTGGCTAACCTGTGCCATGAGTGCTACAAGTGGCATGGGCAGCTTCTGCGCGTGTCATGCAGCAGATTGGGGAGCAGACAGGCTACAAAGTGGCCAGCGAGGCAGGGAGCAAAAAGCAGATAGGGCAGGGGAAGTGAATCAGAGTCACATTCAGGGAGTGCGTGAGACTAATTTTTGGCACTCTTGACAAAAAAAGTTGCCTCCACTGTCTAGAGCAACTGAATGTCACTATAGAAACAACGTTCTCCAGAGCAAGCAAACGTGTTTCTTTATCTCTGCATTATTCATTGTGCTGCCAACAGAAAATCCCAAATTTCTTCCTGCTTAATGAAGCTTACAAGTTACAAATATGCAGGAAGCATTCTTAACTCATTTCTTATCTACTAATTAATTTTAATAACCTTATGAATTCTTGCAGTTATAAATTTGAAACTACATCTGGTGTGACTTAATGAATATAAGCAAGATGAGAGTTTTTGCTTATTAGTGCATTTAACTATAAAAATATATGCTACATTAAGGAAAACGCTATAACTTGTTGAGAGATTTGAGGTATCAAATATTTCTTTAAAAGCTTTTTTTTTATCCTCCATCTGAAAATGCTTGGACTAAGGCTTCTGTCCACTAACAGTTGGGGTTTTTTGTTTTGTTTTTTTAATAGCATCCTTCTTGTCTTCTCTTCTCCTTACTACAGTAGTTGTAATTGTTCTGTACGCTCCTAAGGCACTAGGATTCTTTTCACGTGCCATTTTTCACAATATGCAATGGCTTTCCAATATATACGAATCAATATTTTGTTTACTTATACTGTACAGTACATTTTACCTACTTTGTCTGTCTTCATACACATTCTCTTCTTCACTGTTTTACTTGAAAGTGATAGATGTAGGAAAGTAATCAGGGACCTGATTATAACACTTGCCGAGGTCAGTTGCCTTTCAGTTGATCAAAGGTGACTAGGATTATGTCTTAACTAATAAAATAACTTATGTTTATTCTGAAAGTGAGATTGTTACTAGACCTGAAAGTACTTAGCTTTTTTGTAAGTGCTGGTATTCTGTGGTGTGCCAAAAGAACCTTGCTGATTGTATGGCCTCTTTTACAATGGGAGACTTGACTTCCAGTCAAGCTTCTACTGGTTTCCTTTTGCTATTGTCATCATCTTTTTCATTTTGGAAAGTAAATTAGTGTTTCATCATGTACATAATTGTATGACATTGCACTGCTAACTGTTTTTGATTATTCAGCATTGTAATTGCATAGTGTTAGGATTGCCAGGATTGAGTTCATGTACTACTAGGTTTAAACAAATTTAAAACAAAACCAAAAATGCTGTGAGTCATTGCTGTTATTACTCAATAACATGAAACTGAAAGACTATGAAACTGTGTGTTCAAATTGGGTTGTATAAGCCTAGGTGACTTACTTATTTTCCCAGTGGAAACTTTTAAGTGTGAACACCCAGCAATGAATAGAAGGCTTGAAAACTTGTCATTTTGCTATCTTTCAGCCTTCTGTAAGCTCCTGTAAAGCTCTGTAATTGCAGTACTGTACTAGGTAAGCATGCTGTAATCCTTCTTTGGGGCTTTACCAGCTTCAAAGCAGTAGGAGGAGAATAGAGCATTTCCTGTAGTGAAGAAATGTCTTGGATTAAATCTGTGGGTTTTAGATTTTAATAATGCACTCTATTTTAATAAAAGTGCTCATTCTGCCTGTCGTGTCTCCCTCTTTCCTCCCTTCCTCGGTATGTGAAGCCCAAAGTTTGGTCTAACAAGATATCAGGCAGCTGCGAACTAGGTCTCAGGAACACCACATTTGGAGTTCTCCCCTGGCTGACTGCTTCATGCTTTAGAAGGCATATCACATATTATATAAAGATGAACATATTGAAGATGTTCTAACTTTGTGCTCTAGAAATAGAGGTGTACAGTAGTTTTTAGCTTTATGGTTTTTTGATTGTCAGTATAATTGACATGTTAGTCAAGATAACATTCTAAGAAGAATTTTAAACAGTGCTTAATTGTTATCTTAAACTTGTGCTGGTTCAATAGCTTCTAGAAATCTATCCCCTTCCCCTTTATTTTTCAACACCAGCATCTTCACAGTCTGAGTGCCTCTATATTTTAAAAGAAAGTTATTTTCTGCTCATTTTTTGTTCATGAATTGTAGGTTGTGCAGGAAAGTGCATGTGGCTGTTGTAAAAGAGCAAAACCAAAAAAACCCCTCAGCCTTAGAAATAACAATTTTACCTTTTGTGTGTGGGGGGGGGTTGTGATTATTTTGCATTTTCTTCATCTGTAGCTAATAATTATCTTCCTCTCTTCCAACAGGATTCAAATTTAAGGGACCCTTTCTTTGCAATGGACAGAATTATGTCAAATATGAGAAACAGCATGCTCGACCTGCAAAAAAATTTTGTAAGTATACTGTAAAGTTCAGCTTCTTTTAAAACTGTTTGCTGTTCAGTAGAAATATTCCTTTTTTTCCCCCAGAAATATTTTAGGGCAGGGGCATCAAACTCTTCTGGCCTGGTCAGGCATCTGCACCATGTGCAGCACCTACCCCATCCAGTCTAGAATCTCTCTGTCTCGTCTCCCGTCCCTTGTAGTGATAGTCTTGCAATTCTTTCCGTACAGGTACACCTTGCAAAGTCAGTGCAGTTTAGGTTTTTTCTCCTTTGATATCACCTTTTACTTACAATGTTGGGATGGAGAATGCATTAATCATAGAGTATGGATAACTTTTTAAAAAAGTTTTATCTTCATTATTAATGAGAATTCTACTGATTTTAGGATGAACTGTCAATCAATCCAGATGCCCACACATTCAGATCTTCCTCGGTAATGACCTATTCCAAGATAGGTGATGAACCACCAAAAGTTTTCCAGGCTTCAGCTCAGACCCGCACAGCTCCAGGAGGTGTAAGTATGCTTGACACAGTTAAAGTTTTAGTAAGATGATTGGAATACAAACTAGTGTAGACCAAATTCAGTTTTCTTTCACGTTCAAACTGGTGCCAGTGAATTGTATAACATAGCAGTATTGTAATGGAGTGAACATCTTAATGGAGTAAACATCTTATTCCTGGGGTAGTTACTCCTTGAAAATACTATTTTAAGTCATTGTATGAAGTGCTGTCTCCTGCTATGATTATGTGTATGCCTTTTTCCATGCATACTAGAAAAATGAGTCGTTATAGCAGCAAGTCTTACATTCCTGGCTTTTTGAGCCAGTATATAATGGCCATGATCAGGTGTTGAATTTGAGTAGTGGAAAATTTTCACCACTAGAAATGTTCCTGAGATGGGGAGCAGTACAGGCATGTAGCCTACAACTGATCCCTCTCCCTTCGCAAAACTTGGAGATCCGGTTCTGGAGAACAGTGGCTGCTCCAGTTCTCATTCCCAGGGGAAGTGGGAACAGCAAGGTAACTCCCACATTCCTCTGACTGGAAAGCATGGAGTGGCTGCTCCTTCGCTTCTCTTCTGGTCTATGCAAGGGGTGGAAGCAGCTGTGCCCTGCGTCTTCTCCAGATTACTGTGACCGCAGTCTGGGGAAGCCTTTCCTGCTACTTGACTCCCCCTGGTCATTGGATGAGGCGAGCTGCAGCTGCTCCCTATGCTCTCCCCAGACTGGGGTGGCCTCAGTCTTGGGACTGGGGGGGTCACTTCCCTTCCACTTGGTTCTTGGCCCCCTGAGGACAGGCATTCATTCTTCCTGGAGAAACTATCCTGGAAGTAACTTCCATCGGGTTGATGATCTGGTTTTTTGTTTTGTTTTTTTTTCTTGCAGAACTGGCAACTTTTGTTCTGAAAAAAGTGTGTGAATGTCTGTATGCATGGTTTCTATTGAGACAGCTGCAGTTCTCCTGGTAGAAACTTAACATCCGTACATGAACTAAGTTTTATTTCTTTTACCCTGTCTATTTTGCCATATTGGCCTAAATATCTGTAAACATAAGATAGTAAAGGTGTATCCAATTCGCACAAGACTGTCTAAAACCCTTGTATATACCGACAAGAATGCATAATAGCTACGTCTCATTATCTTTTGAACCAGAGCACTTTTAAATGCTTACCTAATACTTCAGATGAAGATGCCCTTTCATTGGTTTCCTTGCAGCTGTTGCAGCTAATTCTGCTAAGAAATTCAAATTTAAATTGGAGCCCTGAAGCAAGGTTCATGAAAGACTATCTGTAAGCAGTGTAAGGCTGTTGAATATATCCCACACCCAAAAATGTTGGAGCTCAAGCCAGCATTTGGTTATCAGAAAGGTTCTAATAATATACCTATGAGCACAAGTGATAAGCGGTAGCCAAGAGCTTCAGGTCCATCAACACGACAGTCTAATAATTATCTGCCCTTTAATGTAGAGAATACTAGTACGTACTTACTCATGTTGTTGTCAAGGAGAATGTTCAAGGCTCTTTGTATAGGTTATATTTAGACTAGGCTGGGCCAGATTTTGAAAAAACTAACCATTATGCAATTTTTTTCTTAAAACTTTGAATGGTAATATTTCCTATCTGCCAACAATGGCATGATCTGTTGTAGGAATAATTGTAACATAAATAAATAAAATCGTCTCTTTGCACAGGTTAAAGAAACTAGAAAAGCCCTTAAAGATTCTGAAAGTGGACTGGAAAAAATGGCTATCGCTCATCATCTTCATGAGCGTGCTCACCTCGTCAAAAAATCCAAGAACAATAGAACTGGTGATGAAGAACTGAATCAGGAATTCATCAACCTGGATGAATGTAGGTTGTCTTGTGCACAGCTCTGACACTTTTTTTTTTTCTTTTCAAAAGGGATGACTTTTTTTTTTTATTCTCAGTCTTGAATCCTCAATTTAAATCTTTTTCAAGATATTTGTTTCATAGTGTATAGAGCATGCTTGGAAAATAGCTAGGTCTAATTTTTCTTTTTTTGTGTCTGGTGATACATCACAGGTGGCTGACGACTTACTCATGTGTGGCTCCACCACATTAATGATATGTAGAGTGGGAAATAAAGTATGCAAGTGAATATGCTTGGAAAATATCATATTTACTCAGATCCAAGATGAACACCCCCCACTTCAGTATAGGCTGGGGGACTTGGGGGAAGGGGACCAAGGGCAGCAGCTGCAGATCCAACTGTGGCCTTGAGTCCAGGATTGGAGTTGGAGACATAGCTGCTACCCCCTATGCCTCTGCTGTCTGCATCCCCGCAGCTCCTGCTCCTCCCTGAAGCCGGACCAGAGGCAGCACATCCTCTGTTCTCCATGCCCTGGGCTGGAGTGGGGTGCCAGCTGGAGCCAGAGCTGTGATAAATAAGTGGTAGCAGGGGTTAGAGGCACTGCAAGGAGATAAGAGGGAGGGGGGTTGGGACACCCAGAGGAGTAAGTGGGGGGCAGGTGGGAAGGGGCAAGGGTCAGGCCATATGAATCCTCTACTACCTGCCTTCCTGCTGCTGTGGGGGGTCAAATTTAAGATGACTCTCCAATAATGAAGTTCTAGACATGGAAAATTATAACATTTTATAAATTTTCCATGTCTAGAGTCTAATTATAGTCTTGAATTCAGTCATCTTGGATTCAAGTAAATATGGTAGCCTTTTCTAAAAAGAGCATAAACTGGGTACCAAAATTATCAGTCATTTTTGGAAATATTTTTTCTAGTTCTGTTTTTATAAAAACTTTTCATAACAGTGGTATGACATCAATGGTATACATTATATTTGAAGCTATATTTACGAACATATGTATGCTTATAAAATTATGTTTTATTATAATTGTTTTGACTAATACAGCAGTTTAGCTGAATACTCTTTCATATTTCATTCAGTTAATTGTTTTTCAATGTTTGCAGCTGAGGCCCAGACCTTTGATGAGGAATGGCAGAGGAAGATTACAAAGTTCAGGCCATCTGGACCTAGAGGCAATTTAGATGCCCCAAAGCATAGAAGTATCCATTACATAAACCAGGAGGATGAAGCAAGAAGGTAGAAATCATTTCTGAAATGACTATGCTGCTAGCCTTTGCTTTTTCTGGAAAGAAAGTCATGTTTTTTTTTCATGAATAAGCAATTCCTGTTTGGAATCTTGAGAAGAAATAATATACTTTCTGCCTGCCTTTTCTGATTAATGTAGTTTTTAAATACAACTTAGGACAACATTTTGATAGCTATTTGGTGGCTTTCAAAAGTACTGACAGTCTTAATACACAGTTGTCCAACTCCTAAGTGGCTGAGGGGCTGCAGGCCTTCCAGACTGTACCGACAGGGGCTGCATGCCCCCAGGTTGCACCAGGGTGAGCCATGAGTAGTGCTGCATGCACTTGCCACTGCTGTACTGAGTACCCACTCAAGACACCCCATGCCTGCACTGTGGAGCCCTGGATTTGCCCTCAACTTCCTGAAACACTTTGCTGCCCCATCCCAGATGGGGTGGGGACAGCAGGAAGTGGAAGCTGAAGGAGGGAGGAGGAGCCTGGAGGCTCTGGCTGCTATTACAGCCAGAGTGATGAGGGGAGCAGCAGCTGGGGGGCTGCAGCTTACCCACTTGTGGGCTGCATGTGTGGCCCCTGGGTCACCAGTTGGATGACCCCATCTTTAATCTATTTGGATATTATTTGGGTGCTAAATTTTTAGAACTTTTTGGGCAAAAATCTAATGACTAGAAAAATCTGTATGTTAAAAATAATGGGGTCACACAAACAGGGTTTACACATTAAGGTTAAGTCTTTTAATTCCTTACTAGGGGCTAGATCAATCTCTTTCCATTAAGAGAAAGCATGCAGGGCGTCCCCTGATGAGTACACACCTGCGGCACACATGCACCCATTCACTGTGCTGCTAATTTGCTGCGCAAAGATTTTTTTTTTTTTTATATTATAATATCCTGGGGTCAAAAAAACCACCTCTGGCAAAAAAAGAGTGGCAAACACTGCAGCAGCAGCATGTGCTGCCAGAAAGGGAACCTGGCTAGCCAGAGCCACACACTGGTTGTCAGCCAGGCCGCAAGCAGCTAGATTGCTGCTGCTTCTCTAGGAGGCACCCAAAACCCCAGGTAAGGCTGCTGGCCCCAGCTTCCCATACCTCACCTGGGTCACTTCACTGTGTGTGTGTGTGTGTGTGTGTGTGTGCAAATTGCAGCAGCATAAGTATGTGCCACTGCTATCTGTCCTGTGGGAAACACACCCCTGCAAGTGCATGCTTGCTGGGAAATGCCTGTAGAGTTCAGAAAACTGCTGTATTCTTCCCATGAAAATATCACCTTGGACGAGGTGGCAAAGATTCAGAAGATCAGTTCTCCAAGCTCACTGAAGATGCACTTTTTCATTGGATTCTCTCCTATCTGTAGCCCTCTCTCCTGCTCCATAGCTTTTCTCTTATAATACAATTCCAGCAGGAGCCACAGTCTCTTATCAGTCTTGAGAGTGCTTGTCATCAACTGTGGACAAGATGCAGCAAAAGTTATTGCCATGCCTAACTTATGTAGGAGGTAAGTGATTGCAGCTGTGGAAAGTCCCCCAAACGTTGCAGAGCATCTTCTCTCTAGCACTTCTGCAGGGTCATAGAAGGAATGGTGCCATATAGCAGACAATGCATTACCTCTTCCATTAGTGTTCCAAGCTAAGTTGTGCCTGGGTATTCCTGCTTGGAAGTCTGTTTAGAGTAACAAGCAAAGAACTGGATTGTTCTTGTTCCTTAGGTAGCGTATCATATGCATCAATTAAAGTTTTGCCTGTAAGCAGTTCTGCTGCTGCCTCTTATCAAATGCCTTTGTATGAAAAACTCAGTAAAAATCGTAGGTTGCTGAAATATCTCTTCCACTAAAACACAAAAATTGTAAAACAACTTAAATGCACGTCGTAAAGGTCTACCTTAAATAATTAGTTATCCCTACGGGTTGTAAATGGTGAACAAAATGATGCGTATCTTTTTTTTTTTTTTTTCCTTCCCCAAATATCATACAATTATTTGGATTTTGGTTTTGTTGTTTTTAGGGAGAAACCCCATCAAAAAACACCAATTGCAGGTTCCAGAAGACCTAAAGCTGCTTTGGAGAGCCTCAATGTGAAGGGATCTCACGTTCCCATCAGAACCAGCAAAAAATAAATGGCTTGCATACTCAATTGTATGGAGTGTCTTCAGAGAAGATAATAGTGCTGGATCACACACACATGTGTATATATACTTATATAGATATATATATATATCTATATATATAAGACCAATCTCTATTCTTGTTCTTTTTAAGCATTAGTGTGCCTTGCCACTCCGTTCATTTGAACACTGAATATTCTTGGAAGACTCTAGTTGCTTGGTGACTGCACATCTTTTTGAGTAGTAAAAGAAAATATTTAACCTTAAAAAGCACTTTAAAATAGGTTTATTACTCTCTTAGTCTATTTTAAAAGGTAGTACTTTGCCTTCCAAGCTTTTTTTTTCCTTCAAGTGCACTGATCTCAAAAGGCATTTATAGATGTGCTCTGGGGGTGGCAGGGAGTGGGGAGGTTGTTGGGGGCAGTACTTCAATTAGAGCAGCTCCAAGAGCCGCTCTAATTAAAGTGCCCAAAGCGTTGAGTGTATTGGCATCCCTGGCTGAAAAATGGTGGCAAGTTTAGCTTAACTAAAGCTCACTAAAGCACCCTCACCGCCACTTTTCAGTGCAGGGATGCTGATGCATTACGCTGGAGTCTGCTCCGACGCGCTGTAACTACCATGCTCCAACAGACTGTATTAATAGAGTCTGCTCCGACGCACTGTAACTACAGTGCATCAGAGCAGCCTTCCTGCACATGTATACGTGTCCAAAGTTTTTGGCAAGCTTGGTTATGAAACTTACCCATGCAATACGATTTATAGAGGATTTTTTTTCTTGTGGCTGAAGCAATACTAGTGTGGTTCTGGTGAAACACCAGTTTAATCACAAATGCTAGTCAGTAATAGCCAACATGCTTATAGCTTTAAAAATAAAATGGAATGAAAATTATGTAATGTTACACTGTAAATTGCCAGACTCATAAGGATTACCTTTAAAACAATGTGAAGAGATTTTTAAAAAGTCATGTAGTTCTTATTTAACAACGTTATTTTAAGTTTTGTGGGTTTTTCCAATGTTCTTATCCTTTACTGTCTAGCTTTTCCATACTTTCTATACGTACCTGACTTGATTTCATTGTCCCTCTGTTATATCTGCTCTGTAGCTTTATCTGCTATGTATACTTCTTTTGGAGGCAGCCCACTTTTTTTTTTTTTTTTTTTTTTTTTCCACCTTGATTCCCCCTTTTTTTGTGGGGATATACTGTGCATTTTGTTTTTATTTTCCCTTGTAAGATGATTTGGCTATAATTCTTGGAGTTCTTGACCAGTCTGATCTGTGAGAGTCGAGCTTAGAATCTTTGGTCAGTAGAAGGTATATTCATTACGTGCTAAATAAATAATGACACCATTCCCTTTCTAAATGATTTAGTTTGAAAAAAAACTCAGGTCTATCCTTATGTGCAGGAAAGCATTTTCTGATCCATCTTGTCTCACTGGCCTTTGTATTGGTTTGTACTCAGATCTCTTAAGGTAAAAGGATCTGAGATCTGGTAAATTTTTAAAATTTTTCGTTTTCCTGAAAACTCTTTATTTCAGTGTTCTTTGTTTCTTTGCTGTTTACTTTCAAGTTTCTTGTACTTCGAAGTTGAAGAAGTCCAACTGTGTGACTGGGAAAAGGAAACTTCTCCATCCACGTTATCTGTAAAACTTCTGTATGCCACTTTTTTCTTTGAGTCGCAGATCATATGTAAACATATGCCTGAACAATTAATTTAAAAATAAATAAATGACAGCATTTTAACTTCTCAAGGCTGAAACATTCAAGATTTAAAATACCAATCATACTTGTATCATCAGTGTCTTTTACAAAAAAGAACCTACTTTGAAAAAGTATTTTTTCTGAAGATCCTCAGACTACTTAATGTCAGGGTTCTTGCACACAACATGTGAACATGTACTTTCTTAGAAAGCAACCAGAGTAGAGGTCTGAGACCTGATCCTGTGTTTATTGAAGGTATTGTGTATGTTGCTGTTGATGTAAATGAGAGAGAGTTTAGATTTATGAAGTGGTTTGTGAGGTGGGTTTTTTTTTCCCCTTTTAGCCTTTGGCACCTACATTGCATCCATTACGGAATATAACAAAGCACCTTTTACTTCCAATTTCATTAGATTGAAATCTGCAAGAGCCATCTTCTGTGTTCTTCTGTACATTTTTCTATCTTTGCATCATATGTACTTTATTTACTCAAATCCAAGATGAGGGTTTTGAGTAAACCCTCATCTTCCCTCCCCCCTCTCCCATTCAGTATGGGGGCTAAATCTTAGACTTAAATGCACAATGGCAGAGATGCATGCAACTGCCCTTGCCCTGGCCCTGGCCCAGTATTGGAGCCATAGCTGCTGCCCTGTCTCCTCCCAACCCTCCCTTGCCTGTGCTGCTCTACCCTGAGTTGTGGCTCTAGCCCAGGCTTCGACTGTGTCCTGTGGCCAGAGCTGCTGCCACCACAATCACTGCTGCCTGGCAGGGCTGGGGCCAGAGCTAATATGTACTTTGTGCTTGGGCCAGAGCTGGAGCTGCACCTTGATAAGCAGTACTGTGGGGGAGGGGAACGTGATTAGGGGAGGGGCAAATTGCAGGGGGCCAGATGCTGAGACACAAGCACCATGGAAGGTGGCAGGTGCTGGGGCGCATGGGCATGGGGGAGGAGGCATCAGACAGCAGGGGAATAAGTGGGTGGGGTCAGGTGTCTTCTGCCACTGCTGCTTTTCCCTGTTGCAGTGGTGAAGGTGAATTTAAGGCAACCCTCTGATACAGATTTATACATGGAAAATTATAACAACTAATTTGTAAATTTTCTGTGTATAGAATCTAATTATTGGGGAGTAGTCTTAAACTTAAGTCATCTTGGATTTGAGCAAATTTGATGGTTGGAAAGTAACAGTCTACGAACATGCATATGTCATTTATTAAATCAACCAGGAAGAGGCTATGGTTATAAGGAGGAGGGGTTTACTCCTTCCTTTAATTTATTTAAAACAACATTCTAAGAATAAACGTATCTGGCATTCAATCTAAAATTATATTAATAAAGAGTTGTTTTAATTAGTACTGCAAAATGACTTATGTACTTGCATATGGTTTGGCTTCAAAAAATCTCATTCAGCAGCAGTGCCTGTGGGGAAGTGAAGGTGTCTTCTACCCAGAAGAAAAAATGGCATTTTAAAAAAAATGCAAGAAATAAAATACTTGAAAAGTCCTTTTGGGAACTCCTAAGTAATGACTGAAATAGGTTGTTTCAGGCAGAATACTATTAGTATAGCTAGCTAATAAGTATAGCCCTAAAATCATTCAGATACAAGCTGGCCATTTATCCAGTTCCCCACTTGATTCTTTTGTAAATGTTCTTCCCACCATACTTTTTTTTTTTTTTAATTTCTCATCTGGTTGAACTCTGTGCATATATATGCAGGCTTCCTTTTCCTTTGCCTTCCTTACCAAGTTGTTTGGTTTACTTTGGTCATTTTTTACGATGGTAAAGATGCCTTCATGCCCAAATACTTGGATAACGCTGAATGCAAATTTAAGGCAAGTTAAAGAAACTTTGGAGTATCTTAAATTTTGGGGGCATTACCCACCTGAATGTGAACCTATAGTATAGACATGAAAGGCTTTGTATTTTAGTACCAACAGTTCCCCATCTGCTACCACATTTAGTGAGCACATAGCTTAAGTTAAAGCCAGGGATTATATAGATGTGCATGTCCACTGAATTAATGCCTTCTCAGTTGCACTCTCACCCCACCTCAATGGGGGCACAGGACACGTTTCAAACATACTGTGTATTGTGTTACATGTATTATATTGCAGCTCCAACATGCTAGTGCCACAAAAGCTTTAAAGGAAAATGAAGATGTACATTTGTGTGTATTAAAAATATATTGGGGAATGTGTGAACCCTTACCCTTTTCCAGGGGGTAAGCCCATATTTTCCAGCTGTGAAAGCTTCCAAGGGCTTAATGGGCAGACATTGTGTTGAAGAAAAGTTCTTAAACCAGATTATGCTAGCAGATTTTTCAGTTCTTGTACTAGTTCATGGATTGGCTGAGTATTTAAATCTGTTTGAGGATTTGGAGCTTGAGAAGAGAGCAGAGTTTGCTTATTGCTCTACCTAGATCCATCTGAGCTCCACTAGCGTAGAAAGGGATAGCTCTGCCATGAACAGTCTCCTGCGTACTTTGAAAACTTAACTTTCTAGACTTGCCAGTGTACCTTGATTAAAAGATGTGCCTTTTGCTTTGAAAAATTGCTTGGATATAGCAGGCAAATAATATAAAATACTTCCAAACCTGGAGGTGAAGTGTTTCACTGCTCTTCTCTACCTCTGCTGTAGCCAAGCTCAGCAGCTGAAGATCATAATTCCCCTGACCAAAGTGAGTCTTGCTAATTTAGGATTGATTTCTGCGTATATAATTTAAAGCCAAAATCTCTTGTGAGATGTTTGTAGTAATAAAGTGTTCCTGGGTAGAGTTTTGTAGGCGTAAGGTACCTTTTTGCATGCCCAATTTAAATTTCATACTCCTGCACATATGATGGTTGAAGGCTGTTCCTTCTCATTTGGAGATCTAGTTAAGGCAGGGGGTCTCAAACTGGGTCCAGACCCCCCCCCCCCCCCCCCCCCGGCGGGCGGGTGCAAGCAACTTAAAAGTGGGGCACAAACTTCCCAGGGGGTATGCGTGGGGAAGCGAGCTCCCTGTCTCCTGCCCTCGCTGCTGCCACCATCCAGCTCTGGGTTGTGGTATTCAAGTTTGAGAACCCGTGACTTCAGGTATAAAGAGCAGTAATTTAATGTGCATGTTCTCAGCCATCTTTACTGCATCCTCCATCACTTTAGGTTATATACAGACTGTTTGATAGAGGAGAAAAGATTCACATGGAATATTTCATTAGGGA